TGTGATCATTTTCTTAGACAATATGGGTGTATAGGAATATATACGGTAGCTAAACAACTAGTTGATCGATGTTTAATTTGTTAAAAAGTGAACAAAAAGGTAACGAAAAGAAAAAAAAAAAAAAAAAAAAAAAAAAAGGTGGCTGGGGAACAGGAGCTAGCCATACAAAGCCTCCAGGTAGACTTAACAGAGCTACCTTAAATACAAGGGTGGAAGTATTTGTTGGTATTAGTGGCTCACTTAACTCATTGGGTGGAAGCAATCCCCCACACCAAGGGCAATGGCAAGCATGGTATCCAAGGTGTTACTGGAAAACATTATCCCCAGATATGGATTAATAGAAAGAATAGACTTGGGCGGAGGAACACATTTCATTTTAAAAATTATACAACAGCTATCTGAAGCCTTAGGGATCGAATGGGCATGGCACACCCCATGGCATCCTCGGAGTTCTGGAAGAGGAGAAAGAATGAATCAAACTTCAAAACAAACCTTGACTAAGTTAATGATTGAGACTCAGATGTCTTGGATTAAATGCCTGCCGTTGGCCTTATTAAGGATCAATACTCAGCCACGAACAGACCTGGGAATTTCTCCCTATGAAATGATGTTTGGATTACCATGTATGAGTAATGACAGGGATATTGTCATCCCTGAAGTAGGAGATCAGTATGTAAGAAAGTATGTAATAAGAATTGGTAACACTTTAATGAAACTAAGAAAGAAAGGACTTCTGCCTCAAATACCACCATTGGCTTTTAATATCCACAATGTAAAACCAGGTGATTGGGTATTGATAAAAGTGTGGAAAGATTAATCATTAACTCCCGAGTGGGAAGGTCCATTTCAGGTGCTGCTGACCACCGAGACAGCGATCCGAACAAAAGAAAAGGGGTGGACTCTTGCCTCCTGAGGAAAAGGACCGGTGGAAAAGCCTCAGGAGTGGACTGTGGTACCATCAACTGACCAACTACAAGTCACCCTCAAAGGACTAAGTAAATTCATCAGGAGGGGATTGAATGACTCTTAACCAGTGGTTTGACTGGGTTTTTGACTGGGTTCAGAGGTAACACTGTGAAAATTTACTTATTCATTTACTTACTTGCTGTATAAGGAAACAAAAACAAAAAACAAACAAAACAAACAAACAACAACAACAACAACAAAAAACAAACAAACAAAAAGACCCCACAAACAAAAAACACAAAAAAACCTATCAGGGAAAAGCTGGTGTTTACCGAGCATTAACTGACAGACATGTGAGATTATGAGCATTTTGGAGTCAATTAGGCATTGCTAGAAAATCAACCTAATAGGGTAATACCTTGTCTCGAGTGTATGTATGGATGTCATGAAGCGTGGGTTTTGTGTGAATGTGAAATGTGTTACCGGATGTGGTATTTCTTGCAGATGGAGAAAATTGTCTTATAACTGTATAGGGAAGGGGCATGAACTGTAACCTTGATTTACGGGGAAAAAGAGGTTAGTCCCCAGAATTTGTGATGTCCCTGAGAGTTGATAGGAGGACACTATCAGGAAAGTGCCAAAATTTTGCTTTGCTTAGAAACAAAGGAAGTGGCTACAAAGGAGCTGCACTTGAATTGACTAACTCTTAACACACGGATTTGTTAAACAGTAGAGGGCAAGACCGGGTTAACCTCTGTGCTCGCCACCAAGAAGACCTTTTATCTCAGCTGTGGGCTGCAACCCCATAGGCATGAGAGGTGGGAGTATATGTTATACCGGACCTCTGCTAATCATCCTGGTATGGTTTGCTTTAATAGTGGCAAATTTGTGCAGCAAGTGCTTTACTGTTATGTCCAACATCAGAGTGGCTTTGCTTTCCCAAAGACAGAAGGGTGGATGGAGATATTTTTAGTGGGAAGAAGAGAATCCAAGTAAAAGATGTGACAGAAGTAAAACAGCCAGTACCAAAACCGCCGAAAAGACCTATAACAGAATTTTCGACATGGTTAACCAAAGGAGATGGTGGTTTACATAAGCAGATACAACTACATGGGCACTTGAAAGAGGAACATTTACAAGGGCAAAAGATATGTAGTAAAAAGGCAAACAAAGTGAGGGCTACCAACATCGAGGCTGCACAATAAATTGCTGCCCATGCATAAGCACGCTCCATTGTTTTCGCGGTATCGGAGGTACAAGAGTGAGAGCGCGAGTGGCGAACCTGCCTGGTCTGTAGGGATCAGGAGTCAGGGTCCACATACGCAGCAGGAAAATGGATTTCCACGCCCCCAGTCCAAAGCGCATGTGTTGTTGGAGGGTCTCGAAAGTTCGGCTATACCCGGATGGCAAAAACAACTGCCAGGCCCGCCCAGATCTAGGCAGCACAGGCATTCTGGGTGGAAGAGAAACTTCCGCTCATTGCGCACTTGGACCTTCCTCGGTCAAGCCGCTAGCCTGGGGCTGGACTATCCCACTAATCTTACTGATCCCACTGGATTGCAATCTTGGGAAGATGGGAGTAGGGGACGATCCCGTGTGCGCCGGCCTGCTGTTGGGATTTTTCATTATATTGGTGGTGACTGTCGTTGCCATCGCGGTATGCGAGGGAATGTCTCGTGGCTGGTGTCGGAGATCACCTCCTCCCCCCAATCCTCCAAGATCACGAAGACAACTAAGACGCCCTCGAAACCTTGATGAGGTGATGGAAACAGACTTATAGTTCAAAGAAGAAAATGTTATTGATCAGAGGAGTTACCGCGCGGCGTGTGACTGTTGTTCTTGGACTCTTTCTATCTTTCTGATCGCTATCGCCCCGTGAGTAAGGGTAACAAGACATCGAAGGACAACATCCAAAGGACAGTGCTGATATCTTTGGTTCTTACTTTTTCTCTTTCTGATTGTGTCGCGTGGGACTTTGCTGGATTGTTATACAGTTAATTATTTCAGGTTCTTGTTTGCTAATAAATTGTTGATTATTGTTTACAGAGTGTCTGATAGTACGGTTGACTGTGCAGTTCGGCACACAGCTCGAATTTGCTTAACACCAACAGGTGAAACAGTAGTAGCAAATTGCATGTTGGTCACAACATGTTGGATTAACTGAACAAAGCAAGGAATAAATAACACACGGCAAAAACATTAAGGCGACAACTGCACATAGCAGATAGAATAAGAGCTGTTTTACCTATGGTGCTCTGAAAACACCCTCAATGTTAGACTCAGAATGGTGGGATGATCTATTAGGAGCTTCCTGGTGGAAAAGATTGTTGTGAATGCGTTATGCCACGTGAAAACTATGATTGTAATTGTAAGGTATTATCTTGAGAGTGTTATGATAAATGTTGGAATTGTGGAAAAAGGTTTGCTTGCAGTGCTGAAAATGAAAGTAGCATCTAATAAACAATAATAGGATAAAAGAAAAAGGGGGGATTGTAAGAAACTATGAACTAAGGGTATTGTTTATTGAAATTTATGATTAAGCTCAATGTAAAGGTTAGGCGGCAAAAGACAGAAAAACTGCTTATGCAAACAGCTGCCAGACACCGCTTGTGTGAGATAAGATAACCTGTGAGACAAGATGACCGTGTGAGACAAGATAACCGCAATTGCTTACACAAACCAGATACTTGTGCAAGCAGAAGGGGTACTGATCAAAGACAACCACGAATGTAAAAATGTATAAAAAGGAACTGTTTGAACTGATCAGGGCGGCAGTTGGCGGAGCGCAGACTCCCCTGCCGTCCAGCGCTGTCTTTGCTCATATTCTACTTGCTATAATTAATAAAATTATAATTGGATTATGATCCATTGTGGTCTCAATTTATAACACTAGGATTTATTGGATGTGGAACTTTAGCTGTTCCGACCTTTAAAGGATTTAAATGTCTTATTAAAAAGCCTCTGTCTTGCCTTTTAATGAGTCTGTTGGCATACACTTATTTCATTTAATGCTTGTATCAACACCAAATAAAGACTCTTGATTCTCCAGGTGTCTTACAGCACATTCTATTTATTTGTACAAGTTTTGCCTGCTGAGTGAAGTCAGAACACGATAAACCTTAGCTGGTCTTGGAAAAAAAACCACTTCTGCTAAATTCATTGTATAGTCAGTAGGTGGCTGGGAAAGCAGCAGCAGCTGCTGAAGGAGCTGGACTCTTCAGTGCATTTCCCCGTTGCACTCTCTGGTGGCAGCTTTTCCTGTGGCTTGGGAGGGCTGCTGCCACCCCCTGTTAGAGAAGAACAATACCTTGTGTCCTGTGGTTGGAAAGGTATGCTTAGCTTCCTTGTGTCTGTCTGTGCTAATGACTAGGGATGAGGTAGAGAATGTGGTTTCAGCAGTTAGATAATGCTTTAAAAAAGGCTAAAGCACAGGGGAAGGTGCTTCTTCAGACTGTTAGGTAACTCAGATTGAATTTACAGTTTACTGATCTCAACCATGCGTTGTATTCAACTAGGTACCTTATGGCTCAAAAGTACATAGCTCCTGTAAGCCCTTATGAATGCTATAAGAAAATTCAAACAATTAGTCTGCAACTCATTTGCATTATATATGCAGAAAGAATTAAGACTATAAAAATCTCAGTAAATATAATGTAAATTCACAGCATTAAAACACCAGGTGTGTCTCACTATAGAACCAGCAGCATATAGAACTTAAATAGGTTCTTTTAATGGGGTAACTCTTCCTGCTTGTAAGATTATATTTGTTCTTAGTGATATAGTTTCCTGTTTTATTCCCAGGTTACCCTGTTTTCCCAAAAGTTCTAAATTTAGATTCCCAAAGATTCAGCAGATAGCTATTATATTTTTTTCCTTTGTTAGTGGTAGATAAAAGCCAGTCAGATTGGGAAAGGATATTAAGGAAGAACATAAGAGACCAGTTCAGCTCTCAGCTGGACTTGGACTTGTAATTTAGCCCAACACCAGTCATTACAGAAGCTTGTCCCTTACTTTCCAGGAGAGAATGCATGGGATGAGCAGAAGCCACAAACACCCTGTAATAGAAAACCTGAGACCCTGAAAAACACAGTATATGCAGTCAAGGCACTTTGTGTCACTCGTTTTATTCACATATACAGGTTGACACTATACTTTCAAATACAGATGATACAGAAGCAATAAAACCAAATACCATTTAAAAACTTTTAAAAACACATATTGCTTCAAGCTTAGATGGTAATTCCCTATTGTTTTTAAAGTGAATTCAGTGCTAACAAGAGCTGAGGCAGCTTCCCATTCACTTGTACCCCTAATTTTATAGGAGCTACTGTCAAGGTGTTGAGTCAGGCTCCATATATGGCTTTGCTGCTGAGTGCACTGAGCTGGAAAAAAAAACTGGAACATCCAGGTTACTACTTGTAAGGCCCTCAGATTGCTATTTTTTGGTCCCTAACAGAGTAAAAAAAAAAAAAAAAAAAGTCAGAGAGGCCTTTATAGTTCAGTGGCACTGCATTATACCATAAAACCAATGAGAACAGATACACTTCCCTACATGTTAAAAATTTGATTTAAAATGTGCATTTGCTACCTGGCTAAAATTCTGAGCAAAAATTCTAGTCTGTTCCTCAGTTTTGTTAAGTTTGGCTCTAAGTTTCTTTCGCTATCACCTTGACTATCTCAGCTTCCAGTGAAAGAGTCTGTAATCCCTAGTTGCAAAGATGTGATAGAACAGGCATGCTACTGTATTTTACAGGGACATTCTTACACAGGTTTCATTGTAACATTTTACATTGTAAACACTAGTCTTCACAACACTATAGTTACAATGGCAGCATTACACATTGTAAGAGTCTTGTTTCACTTAGCTAAGTACTTTCAGAAACAAAAAGGAAGAAACAGTTATTTTGATGAAGACTTTGGACAACTGAGTATTTACTGTATTCTTACAATGTTTTACTTCTGAAACAGGAGTGAGAAGTGTTCATCACTTGGCTGAATTCAAGAGTCCATGCAAGACAAAGTTCAGAACTTCCTTAACTGATAAGTGACATTCACTAGGTTTTCTGGGTTTTTTTGAGAGTCCATTTTCATGCAAAAGAGCCACATCCTGTAGGAATCTGTGGACTATAGTTAAAGCTTTTACACTTGAAAAGTTCTGCTTTCCCAGTCAACTGGCTTTTCATTTGTTAACATCACACTAAAACAAATTTTCCAGAATTCAGCTTGGCATGTGCCATATATTTTGCGTGTACAACTTGCAGTGGTCAGACTGATACTATTTCACATAGTCTAAAAGCAAACCTACTAGCCTTTTTTTAGTCAAATAATGCCCAGATGCAGGAAGGCTACCTGATTTGTAGAATAATTTACCCCTAATAATTTACCCCTCACACTTTAGGCCTTATATTACCTAAACCAAGATAGTACCAACATAGCACCCAGGATTATTTTTAGCTACAGCCCATTTGAAGAAGCATGATAGTGACTCTCGTGACCTGATTAGCATTGCTACTGTCTTCTAGCAAATTGTTTTGGTGAGGAGCAGCTCTTGACCAGGCTAGGATAAGAACTAGATTATTTCCTCAGTATACAGCAACCTTGATGCTGTTGAAGATTCTCATGCTCTGGAGAACACCTACAGGTGCCCGTTTGAGATGTTTTAATTTTGGGACCCAGGATCCAAGACAGAAGACATTTAAGCCTTCTAGAGTTACCGGAAAGACCAACATCTAATGGGAGATCCATCTTATCCAAAACTAGGTACTTAATGCAGGCACATAGTCATCTTTGCTCCTCCATTCTCAGTGGGAAGAAGAGTGTCAAAGCTGTCTTTGAAAGTGTGGCATGAGTCCTGCCCTGCGCAATCAAGGAAACTGTTTAATGTGACAAAATACACCAAGGGCACAGTAACTGCTGCAGTTAGGTAAAGCCTACAAAGCTGGTGGGCAACAGGAACAGGCAAGAGGTTTTTATTGAATAAGGCTGTTGCATGGTACTGAGTTAGTGCTTTGATACTGTTGTTCAAAGCCTGGGTGGATTTCTGAATTGAAACAGCATCAGGAGCAATTTAAGCATATTTACAGCAGCTATTTAAAGATAAAAACACAACATAAAATAAAATTAAAAGAATCTCATATGGAATATAAAGGCATCCTCTGGAATAGTTTGCCTCAGTTTTTGGCCACTGTTCTGAAGTTTTAGGAAGTTCTAGCCTGTGGTTTACTTAAGAGTTGAAATGCAGTAATTTTGCTGTGTATAAAACATTTAACCATACTTTGCATTCCCAGACTTAAAAGCTGTAAGATCTCTAGCAGGTAGCCTGAAGAGCAGTCTGTATTTTTACAGCTGTGTGCTTAAAAGGCAGGTAAAATTCAGATTATAATTTCATGGATTCTAGGACATCTTAGTCAGATTAAAATTGAGAGTAATGAAACCTTTAGTGATGTAATGTAATTAAGCCTGGGAGGGAGGTAGCAGTGCTTGGCCCCTTTGCATGACTATTTTCTTTCAAGTAACACTTGTAATCAAGCTTTCCACTAAGCATGTAACACTCTCTTGTAGTAGTAATTCTAGAGCCTGGCTCATGCACTGAGGTTGTGGAATTAAGCTAAGACTAGTACAGGTTTCTGCTGCAGAAGTGCAAGTGTGCTCCCTGTGAGGTGTCCAGTCTGTAAACCACAGGCTTCAAAACAGTTAAACTGAGATAAACAACACGTAACACATCTGAGAAAAACCTTGAAGCTTACAACTACAGCAATAATCTGCCTAAAACTGCCAAACTGAAAAAATTAATTTACATCATTTTGAGGGAAAAAAAAAACAACACTGAAGATATCACAAATAATGACTGTCTTGCTATGTAGAAGTAGGACCTACAAAGAGTGAGTGTTCAAGCTCCATTATATGTTCTTGTTTACTAAAGGGTACACCCCTCTTTCCCTTAGCCCTCACTCCCCATTGTGAGGAGTTCTGCACCAATTTTGAGAGGCAGAAAGCTTTTCAGGACTTCATCTACAAGTTTTATCAACATGATATTCAAGTTTAAAACAGTATACTTGTACAAAACCACCAAATGGAATGCATATTGCACTCTGACCCACACTGAGCATAATAGATATTCTTAAGTGTTAAAAATAGACTTCACTAGACAGGAGCCAGCCCTCTCCTCCAATAAACACATTTACATGATTAAGCATAGAGTGTGACCACAAGCTGAATACAGTGGTACAACTTGATACTGGTAGAACAAGCAACTGCTTACTGAGCAGCAGCTATCAGATAATGATTGTCTACATCAGTTATTTGGTACAACAGGCACAGCAACTGCAAAACAGTCCTGTAGCTGTTTCATGCCCTGAAAATTAGTAGTTTATTCTAATGACCCTAGAAACAGGAATAAAAGTTAGCATCAGCAGATTCACTAATCAAACAAGGTTTTTTGAAAGTTTCTATATCCAGACAATACTTGGTATTTGCCTGCCTAAAACATCTACATTTATTAGTGCTGTTTACTGGACCCACTGGCTTTCCTGTTGCCTGTCTTGATATACTTATTTCTTTTGGTAGAAGTATTAAATCAAATAGTACAATAAATGCAAAGGCACCTCCATCACACCTTTAAAGTCTTTCCCCAACACCACCTCCCAATGACTTGGACTTTTAAAATAAGGGACAACGGATTATTTGTAACCAAGATCAAAAAGTATTTGCTTTGATTCCCTGTATGCAAAGATTCCTCCCTCCCACCCCCAAAACAAGTCAGCTGAAGCATTAGAAAAATTCCCAAAAGGGGAATTGTTTAAGTTTGGGTAGCTATATCTAAGAGCCTCTTCAGATGTTATGGCTCCAATGATACACCCCACTGTGAGGTAGGTAGCCAAGATAAAAATATCGTAACAAATATTTTAACAGCTGGAAACTCTCTATAAAAACCTTGCATAAGTAGTTTGGTTCCTTGCACCAGTGTCCTGATATGCGTAACTTCTTTTGAAGATGTCCAAGGGAATCCCAATTCACCGAGCTCTCGCTGAGTAGCATCTCATGTACTCTGTCATCCAGGGGTTATCTGGTGGGGCAGGCTTTATTCGCCAGGCTTTCTCTGCTTCTGCTGATCGTACTCGCCTCTGAGAAAGCTTCCTTTTCTCCACTTGTCTCCTGTTCTTTGCTCGCAGAGCAGATTCGTGAATCTAAAAGACCAGAGTTAGCATTACAGCAGGGAAACAACCTAGGACCACCCCCCGTACACCCAGGAAAGCTGAGGATCACTTTGTATTTGTCTTCACAAAGAGAAGCACAGACATTTTTTATAGCAAATGCCTTAAATTCTATTCTGCACTATCTTTCCCACTTCACACTGTTTAACAATTCAAAAAATCTTGAATGTTTCTCAATCTTACTCTGACATATTCTGAAGACCTTGATTCTCTTATTTCTACTATTTTAAATTCTTAATGTCTCTCAATATGCTCAAGCATCCCTTAAAACCTAAGCCATAATAGTAAGACCAATCCCTAGACACTCCTTACTAGAGACTGAAAAACTTAATTTGACAACAGGCTGCATGCACACCTACATACATTTTTATATTAATAAATTATCATATTTTCCCCAAATCTTGAGAGCCAGCTTCTATGTTTTCTTGCTTCTATCTCCAGATTTAAAACTCTGTCTCCCATCTCAATTAGGGGAAAGGAACACCTTTCAAACATTCGTAAAGTCACCTAACTGTGCAGTAAATAGTCAGTTCCCACTTAAAGAAACATCCTTAGTGACAAAGCACTACATAATGGGAAGTGTCCTGCCCATTCACTCCAGACTCAAGGCCTGATCTTAGGGATTTTGTAACTGTTTCTACCATAAGAAATGCTAGAAGTCTCAAAGTATAAATATCTCTGCTCAAGTCAGGCATCAGCCTCTGTTAGGCTTCGACATAAAGCACCAGTCAACTATTTCCCCCATCCCGTAACAGTGTCCATTATCAGGAAGGGCAGCTTCTTTCAAGAGCTGCAAGGCCAGAGTTCCTCATTTCCCTCAAAGGGCCAAGCTGTCCTGGAAGGAAAAGACCATGCTTCAAACCCCTTCCAAAACAGCCCATCAGAAGTCAGCTCTATCTTATATATCAAGAACACCACTCACCTTAATCCTCAGATATCTTGGGTCATAAATTCAGAGTCTACATTAGCAGTAAGATAAAGACAAGACAATGGCAGGGATACATTAACGATTATGTTTTACCAGCCTAGGAGAGTTAAAGAAAAGAAAGAAATTGGTCCATTGTAACCCTCCAACCTTAGTGTTTCATGCTAAGCCAGGAAACAGACCCCACTTACTGCAGAATCCTGGTGCTGTCGGTGACCATATGGATTTTATTTGTGCTTTTTTTGCTAATATTTACATCAACCCTGCAATCCGTCAGCCATCTGATAGACCATTCTGCTGTCAGCAAAAAGTTCCCTGCTGGCAACCCACTGAAGCAGACTGCTAGACAGACATTTTAGCAGCAAAGCATTTGTACCTTCTCATTGAGGGTCCTATTCCTAGGAAGGGCCCCAGCAAAAGTCACTCTTACAGCAAAAGCGCTACCCCAGTGATTATATACCTGCCTGCTGCGGGATGCTTGGTGCTAACTGCCTGCTGCTTTTCTCTTGTTTTCGTTAAGTTCAAAGTGCAGAAATACATTTATAACAGCCAGTTTTGCTGGTAGCGCTGTAACAGCCAGAAACAAGATAGCCAAGTTTTAATCAGAACTCACAAGTATTGGTCAAACAGGGGAAGCTTCCAAACTGATTAACAGTTAAGAACTATTTGATTTGGACGTGTCAAACCTCTTCAAGCTTATTGCTAGAATATATTTTTTTTTTTAGAATTTATTGCTAGAATCTCCATGCACACAAATAAAGGCATCCCTGAGAAGTTTTATCTAGACAGTAGACATACATCTTATCCAGACACCAAGTAGTCATTGCCCGTTAACAACACAGAAGCTTTTACTTACTTCATTTGCCGATGCAGAAGCGCAGACATTGTGAGTTTTCTGGCTTCCAGTATCCGTCTGTCTTTCTCCCCACCCATACAGAGCAAATGGATGTTTATTCTCCTTTGGTGCATCTGTCTTTTGAGGACTTTTGGCTGATCTTCGATCATTACGACTGGACAAGGCACTTTGATTTGGACGTTGTCCTGTACGGCTGGTTTTGTCTCCTTCCTTTGCAGAAGTGCGTTCTACAGTTTTTTCTTGCTCTTCCCTCTGCTGCTTTTCTTGATCTTCTCTTTCTTTCTCTAAAGAAAAAAAAAAAGCTATGCCATAAGCTCTCAATGACAACATATTAATGTCTGATTTGCACAGCCTCTCTTCATACACCATTGAATCTGTGCTTTGTTTGGAAATGGGAGAAGCCATTACTTCCTTAGCAACAGATGTATACCTTACTGAAATGCCTTAATTCTTTCTCTAGTGACTATATTTCCAAGTCCATCCACCTGTACATCAGCTTTCACATACTTAAACACTCCTTTCACTAGTGAGGCTACAGATTACCAATAGCTCCAGGCAGTATTTTAAAGACTGTTTCCAGTGATCTTCTGTCTTCACTATTTCATCGTTCCATCTTTCAGACAGTAAACAGATGGACTGCTGAATGCCATGTAGATGCTGCCAGCCAGTCAGAGATGAAGTTTGATAGACTATCTGCAATATTAAATCCCTCATGTTATAAGCTTCCACTGAAAGAAAAAAGTCATTCATTTTCAAGCTCCCTAATTATACATCTTGATTATTGTTTTCTGTTTTCGGAGGAGTGGGGAGTAGAAAGCAAAGACTTACAAAGCGATAGACCTCACCCTTGCTATCTGTTCCATGAGTACATTTTACATTTAAAGAACCACACTCTACAAACAATACTCTCTGAAGCTCTATTCCCCCCACACATGCTTTTTAAACCTTCCATTTGCTCTCCAGGCATTGGGCATGTAGATTTGGATTTGTGAGGGAGAATTTAAAGTCTATATCATTGTTAATTTGCAGATACAGATCAACACTGAAGGCTGAATCAGCATTCTATGAGACAAATAATAAAAACACATGGAAACAACTATTCCATAAGATCCAATCTTCTTGCATGATAGAGCTAGGGAGGAACTAGTTTTCCTTTGCTTGTGGTGCCTCACAGCTAGCACTCCTTGATGTTTCATGCGCACTACTACTTATATACAAAAATTTGGGTCATGGACTTGAGATGAAGGAAGCCAATATCTGGTACAGCACTGCAGTACTTCATAAATCTAAGAGAAAGGCTGGTAAGAAAGTCATGCCTTACAAAAGGGTTGTAAGTTGTTTTGAACAAGTCTGGTTTATAACATCATTAAATATAGTCAAGTGAACGCCTATGGATAACAATTACTGACTGGAAAAGAATGGCCAAAGATTTTTCCCACCTTTGAGAGCTGTAAGGTGTTACCAACTGGTGACAAGGCATCTTCATCTATTATCTCAATACCAATTAAATTAATAGCTTTATCAAAGATCTGGTTGAAGGCATCAAGGGCACCCTCAGTAAATTTACAGATGACACCAAGTTGGGCTGGAGTGTTGATCTCTTTGAGGGTAGAAAGGCTCTACAGAGGGGCCTGGACAGGCCAGATCAATGGACCAAGACCAGTTGTATGAGGTTCCACAAGGCTGAGTGCCAGGTCCTGCACTTGGGTCACAACAACCCCCTGCAACACTACAGGCTTGGGGCAGAGCGGCTGGAAAGCTGCCCAGCAGGAAAGGACCTGGGGGTGTTGGTGAACAGCTGCCTGAATACGAGCCAGCAGTGTGGCCAGGTAGCCAAGAAGGCCAACAGCAGCCTGGCTTGTATTAGAATTAGTGTGGCCAGCAGGACTAGGAAAGCAATCATTACCCTGTACTCATGACTGGTGAGGCCCCACTTCACATACGGTGTTCAGTTTTGGGGCCCTCACTATGAGAAAGACATTGAGGTGCTGAAGTGTGTCCAAAGAACAACAGAGCTGGTGAAGGGCCTAGAGCACAAGCCTTATGAGGAGCATGAGGGAACTAGCATTGTTTAGCCTGGAAAAGAAGAGGCTGAAGGGAGACCTTATCACTCTCAACTACCCAAAAGGAGATTGTAGCAAGGTGGATGGGGCCAGTCTCTTTTCCCAAGTAAAAAGTGATAGGACAAGAAGAAATGACCTCAAGTTGTACCAGGGGAGGTTTAGATTGCATATTAGGAAAAATTTCTTCACCGAAAGGGTTGTCAAGCATTGGAACAAGCCAACCAGTAAAGTAATGGAGTCACCATTCCTGGAGGTATTTAACAGACTTGTAGATGTGGTGCTTAGTGACATGGTTTAGTGGTGGACCTGGCAGTGTTAGATTAACAGCTGGACTCCGTGAACTTAAAGGTCTTTTCCAACCTAAATGATTCTATAACGATTCTAATCAAATATTCTCCTTACACTACATTAGTGAAATACAACTTTGGGGAAAAAAAATAAATACACAGAAGCCTGTTTCAGTTCTCCATCCTGCAGATCTTTAACAGTAGCGCAGACAAGTTGGATGTGTATGCTAGACATTGAACGTGGCCCCCAAGCATTGTGGGCACAAGCAGACATTGTGAGCTGAAGCCTCCATGACTTTTAGGTCAACCATGCCTTCTACATAAAGGCAACTAAAGGCTTTTATTAACCTAACAGCATAGCAGTCCACCAGTAAGTGATTTGTAAGTGATTCCTTTCAAATGTCCACCTTTGAGCATTAGATGTTGCCTTCTGCTAGAAACATATGGCAAGACATTCAAACTCTGCCGACATAAACATGCTGAAATTGCAAGTTTTCTGCCACACCATCTATTTCTGCTTGTGGTAGGGACCAGCTGCAAGCTGCCTCTGTTCCAAGTCTCAGCGCTTTCAGCTACCACCAGCATACACTGGGATGTAGAGGGAACTCCTCCACTGGTGTAGGAGTTCATCTAGTTTAAGGCTCACTTACATATTGAGAGGTTGACCACAAACAACTTAGAACAAATTTTACCCAAGTGTCTTCATTAAAAGCAGGCTTGCCAATCCTGTGACAGAATAGCAATCATTCTTGCTAATTGCTATGATTTAGCTAGTCAAGCAAATACATGCCTAATCTGACACTGCTTTAATTTTACTTCTGCATCTATCCAGCTCTGATGAAATGGAAATTACCTGCCTGGCACACTGGTTAAGCATCCATTTACTCTTGCACTCACTTTGCACTTGTAGGGTAAAGACATGAAGACTTGCCACATGCCCCAGGATTCCCATAAGTTGAGCCTCATGCTTTCTCTTGCTAGCCTACACATACATCTTCCAAGCTATGCAGGTGCAGCATTCAGCTACAGACAACACTGCAGTACAGCTGAGTATTTGGTTAAGAATAGCCAGCAGTGTTAAATTATTTGAAGCCCTATTTGTTAAGAATTCAATTGAGCATCCCCACAAAACAACCAAGATAGTCAAGGCCAAAGAAGGGAGAGCAAGAACAAAACAACAGCCAGGTGAATTTCATGTATTTCAATATTGGGTGCACATAATGTCAGTCATTATAGAGAAGGCTGGATAACAAGAAAGCAGCAGGGACTTCAGTGTGGTAAAAAAACCTGCTTTGCATAGTGTCCTACGTTCTGGGACACACACCTTCACCTCTAACAAAGGAGCTCATTGATTACAGCTGCAACAGGTAGCACAGAGTGATCCCCTTACAAAAGGGTATCCACACATCTCCTGCCCAGCCCACTCCTAAGAAGGGACTGAAGGGAGGGCATATTGCTGTCAATTCTAAAACAGGAGTGCTTTTATTTTTGTGAAGCTGTTCCATTCATGGGAAAATGGCATCTTCTTCCTCCTCTAAAAAGGAAGATGGAACAACACTGAGTTCATGAGCAGCAGAGGTTGCATTTAGAGACAAAAATACAGGAAAATGGGGACTCTGCAATTGCATGGATATTCTAGCTTTAAGATACTACTTCAAGGCAACAGCCATGCCTGGGGATGCTGCTCACTAGGACATAGTTCCAGCTGGTACAGAATGATTGAGCCAGCTTGTCCCAAAATAGCAATAAAAGCATATGTGTAAATGGCACACAGAGTCCTGTGCACAGCCTTGCAGTAAACGCTGTATGCCAGAGCGTACTATGGCACCTTATGAGCACCTGCTGATAGAGCAGGTATTTCAGTGAATTCTCTCCTACAGTTCATTTACACAGAACTCAGTTGGTGAAGTCATAAGGCAGATATCTTTAAGCTTTTTATTTAAAAATATAGCTTATATCCTAGCTACTTTGTTAGGCACCCCTTTTCACAGGAAGGTAGAAAAATCAGCAGTTGATAGCAGGGAAGGAGTTAGACCCAGCTCCCCAGGGAGCCCAACCACCACCACCACCTACCCATCTCCTCCTGTGCAGCACACCAGCTCCAGCAGGCATGGGAAACTCAGAACTGAGTGGCTGCTGCATTACAGGGATTAGCCAGGAGAGAAAAAAAGCTAGGAACGTTTAAAACCGCATCATGGATGCTAAGCAAAGCACACTGGACAGGAGGGGATTAAGTGCTTAGCAGGCAGAACAAAGCTGCCAGGCCCACCCAACACAGCTGGCAAAAGCTCCTGCCCAGGAGGGGTCACAGAAATCCTGCTGCATTGCCCAGCTTGTGTAACAGCTCCCAGCCAGGGCTCACACAGGCAAAGCTCAAGTGGAGCTCCTCTCCCTCCCACAGTACTGTGTGCGCTACAGGCCAGGCAGCACGCCCATTTCAAAGGCTCTGCTGACTGATTAGAAGTATCAACCACCTCTGATTAGACCCATGGGCCCTAGGGGTCAACAGCTTTATCTCTGTATAGAGATGTTTGCTCCTTACAGCGCTACTTCAGGTTCAGGAGAAGCACTTTGTGCTTAAACTGCCATGGGCAGAGCTCAGAGTTTCCTGCTTCAGTGCAAACATCTCCCAACATGACAGGTCTCCAAGGCCTCTTGAAGGGGGCATAAACTCATTTGTGGGTATGAACTGACTACAGCTGGGTAGAAAGTGGTTACTACAGCTGAAAGATTACAATGCCATTGCTTCAAGACTGATCTTGTAGGAGGCGGTATTGGAGCTACCAGCAACACCAGCTCAAAGTTGATTAGATTAACAAGAGGTTCATCTGTAGCAGAGATCAGAAAGCCATGTCTGGCTTGGCTTGATAGCAAAGCTTGTTTCCAATATCAACAAAAAAAAAAAAAAAACCCAAACTTGAGCAACTTTGAATCACAGTACACCTAAACTGACACTGTTGCCTTCTGCCCCCACAAGCTACCACTTTGCATATTCCTGGGCCAAGACATACACCTGCAACATCGTGGCCGACAAGATCGGGGAACAAGTTTGAAATTGGATCTTCCACAGAGTTGCACAAATCCAGATCAGTCACTTTCCAACTGCTGTGACAACTGCTTTGATACCAGCTTGTCACTGCTGTCATTTAAGACCTCTGCCCAAAACTGCTGAAGGCGAAATGGTAATAAGGATTGAAAGATGCCTTCATCCTGCGTGTGTGTGCAGCAGTATCATTTCACAAGCAACAGGTCTGACAGCAGCGCTGCTGCCAAGAGCTCCTGTCTTTGACTTACCAGCCCCACTGGCTTCTGTTGACAGTTTTGAGCATGTGTCAGCTAGACCAGTTGATTGAGGTCAAGATTTTGTTGGATTATGTTTAAAGCACATCTGTGCTCGGGCATGTTCAACAGAACAGTCCCAGAAACAGATGCTGCAAGCAAAGGGCCAGACAGCAATAACCCACAGTTGCCACCAAACACACCTTAGTATCACTCAGCTTAAGTTTAACCATGAGATAGTGTGACAAAATACATCTGTCCTGTGTGCTCTCAGATGTTTATGTCGATAGCAGTTTAGACCAACACCACTAAACCTTAAAGTCAAGCCACATACATTAGCTTTCTCCTCCAGAAGCATTTACAAACCACTTTGCAAACACACACAGGCTCATCTTCATGAGGGAAAGAAGCAACCACAGCCACAGACACCATTATAAATTGGCTTTACCTCAGATACTAGGCAGCATCAGTTCTGGCCAAATGTACTTGGCCACAAGCACCGAGTAGATACCACTCAGCCAGAAACCAGGTTCCCCAGCAAACAGGGGGAAGCAGCCGTAGCCAGGTAACAGCCCAGGATGCTGCAGCATGTAGGTGGATGTCAGATTCAGAAGACAAAAGATGTCATCAACATGAGCACACTCAGCTACCCCCACAGCACTTCAGTGTAATTAAGTTCTTCCAGAAAAAAGCAGTTGAATAATGGAAGATTCGTGGAGTCATAGTTTCTATGTTATCTTCTCCACACGTTTCAGTCAGCCACTAAGCAAGAGAAACATACATCCTTATAATTGTCCAATACTGGATGCGTCACTTGCTTATATATTAGCACGTGCACTAATATACAATAAATTTCCACTAAATCCAGCTGCCTAAGCAGAGTTGTTTTCAGTCCTTTTGCTAAGGACTCAAAGCTATTAAGTACCTGCAGAACTTAAAAAAAATGTTTGTCCTAACCTTAATTTCTTTGCCAAGTGGCCTAAGTACAGATTTTCCTCTGTAAGTATAAAATAGCAAGGATCTAATTAGGTTTCCCTATTTTGCAGCCATGGCAAAGTTGCAACAGCTAGAGAGGCACAATTGCCCCAAACCCCATAGACTGACCAACTGCTGTTGCTCCACAGTCCCTTTGCCACAGATATGTTATCAAGGACACAACTACGCATGCACTCAGTGGTCACACACGCCATCCCTGACCACAGAAAGCACCTGCACAAGCAGCACATTCACAGCTACCAAGCTTTTACCCACTGCCACAACTGACCCAACCGTATCACTTCCCAGAGAGAGATCAGACCAGGGACTGAGCAGAGTGCCCTGGCCAGCAGCCTCTAGCCTTGGCAACCGCTGGTCCCAGCTAGACTGTATCAGGCTACTTGCTCTATCCATTGGCTCAGTGAGTCCCTACCACAGCTGGCCAAGATTGACATGTGTTCAAACTGCATCAGAAAAGGTGGGAATGCCAAGCTCTGAGAGTTCAGCTTCAACAGCTTCCACCTTCCTCTCACTAGAAGCCAAGCCTTTAAACTGCCCATCAGGACACATCACCTTACCCCACGCAACTGCTCCCTGCTCTTTTGCAACTCCTCGGTGCTGCTTTTCACCAAGATGCTACAGATGTACTTCTTCCACACATACGCCCCAGACTAACTTTCTCAGAGCCTACTTGAGGAGAGCAAGATTAGACCCACTAATACCTTGTTACACACTGGTTAACTGAGGTGCTTCCATCACTGCACAGTTTTGGGGAGGTGCAGGACATTACCCTGGCAGCCAGCAGCTGCGTGCACCCCCATACGAAGGCTGGGTACCGCAGGCCCACCCAGCCACAAGGACTACAGCTCACTGCAAAACCCCACATCACTAGCGTGCTCTGACACACACAGGCCTCTTGAACAGATGACAGCATAGCTAAAGCTTTTGCATAACATGGTATTATTAAGGACAATGAACACAGTTTAGCCTTGAATATCAGAATACAGTCCATTCTGGTAAACGCAGGCCCCAATGGAAATTGAAACCGATTAGTGTCCCCACTCCAAACAAGCACATCTAACCCCAGAACAACCCCTTGGCTGCATGAGGCTTAACTGAACAATTCTCAAGGATTTTCCCTGCTACTGTAAAACAGACATACAGCTGATTCAAAACACATTGCAAAACAGCAATCAATGGCTGCCAGATAAATTTTTCTTTCATTATAAGTAAGAACCAATATCCTATAGGATAAAAAAATACCAACTTGAGAAGCTTGACAGTGTTGTTATCCATCTACCCACTCTGCACATTTAATTCTCATGACATCAAAAGGCAAGGTATACTACAAGAGAGCAAAACATTATCAGCTCTGCACCTGCTTGAGCCTGCAGAATTGCCTGCACCCAGCAGCAAGCCCAAAGCCAAACCTCAGGTAGAACAAAGAACCAAGCGCTCAGCCGAGACAGATTACGCGTGCAGGTCCAGGAAGGCAACAGCCTTAAGCACCAGTGCCTGGCACACCATCCAGTTCGCCGCTGCTTTTTCCAGCGAGCCTGCTTACATAATTGCAGAGATGCTCCGCTCCCATGGCAACAGTTTACATAAGGGCTGTGACTCAGGAGGAGAGTTGCCACCGCTTGGCTCTTTAAAGAGACGCCTCCGGTGCCGCAGCCGCGGCTTCTCCGCAGGCCCGGCAAGGACCCCATTGGCAGCACTTCATTTATTGTCTTCGGTCGGGAAAAGCGGGAAGTCATCGGGCCGGGGGGTTTCACGCCGGGGCCCTCCCCGGGCCGGCTGCGGCTGTCCCTGCCCGCCCCGATCGGGGGGCGCCGCGCGGGACGCTCCGCACGCCCTCGCCGTGGGTCCGACACGGAGCGCGATGCCGCTTCTCCTCAGCGCTGGCCCCGCAACACCCGCAGTCCCCCCCCGCGGGCACCCCCCGGAGACACCCCCACACCCCCCCCCCCGCCGCCATCGCCCCCGCTCCCTACCGGGGCTCGCCCGTCCCGCCTCGCTCGGGGCCGCCGCCGCCTCCTCCTCCTGCGCCGCTGCGGGGCTGCCGGCGCCCGGCGGCGACGGGGACCCGGCGGGGCTGCCGCCGCCGCCGCTGCCGCTATCCTGCTCCCAGCCGTCCCACAGCCAGGGCCGGTGCGCCTGCTCCAGGAGGCGGCGGCTGAGGCGGTAGCGCAGCAGCTCCAGGTAGCAGGCGCCGCACGACTCCCACTTGGGCTCCTTGAAGCGCTTCATGTACTCCGTCTTCACGCGCCGCGCCGGCACCACCATGGCGGGGCCGGGGGAACGGGGAGGGGGAAAACGGGAACCGGGAGCCGCCGCCGCCGCCGCCGCCGCCGGCCGAGCCCGCCCCCTCCCGCTGCAACGTTTAAATCCAAACAGCGGCGCCCGGCCCCGCCCTCGCCCCCCCCCCGCGCCAATCGCGGCGCGTCACCGCCTCCGCACCCCCCCCTCCCCCCCCCCCCCCGCCACCTCCTTGTGGCGTCACGGCGCGCGCGGGCCCATCACGCGGGGATGGCGGGGAAGGGAGGAGGGGAGGGTAGAGGGACTCCGGTCGCCACAGCGCCCCCTAGCGGAGGGTGGGATAGGGAGGATGGGATGGGATGAAAATAAAATGTAAATAAAAATAAATAATAAAATAAATAAATGCATAAAATAATGAAATAAAATACATGCATAAATACATAAAATAAAAATTCATAAAATAAAACAAAATAATAAACTTAATAAATGAATAAATCCGTAAAATAAAATAAAAATAAATTAAAATAAAATAAAATAATAAAATAAAATAAAATATAAAATAAACAAACCAAAGCACTGCAGTGCCACCAAAACCCCCTCCCATATTTCGGGAGCAGCACCCAGCAGCAGGCACGGCTCGCCCAGCGCAGCGCCTCCTCCTTTGCCCCTTCCCCACACCAGGCTGAGCCGTGACCGGGCCAGACCGGGCCGAGGGTGCCCACGACCCTGGGCCCTGGGCTCCGCCGCGGGGGTGCTGGTGCCTGGGGGCTCCCCGGGCTCCTGCCAGGGCACGCCTAAAGCCACGGCGCACGTGCAGTGCGTCGGAATTAATGCATTTGCAACAACAGCTCCCCCTTTTTTTTTTTTTTTTTGTTTTTGTTTTTTTTTTTTTTTGTGCAGCACCACACACCACAGCAGGGCTAACAGCTGACTTAAGCTCTGTTCCCCCAAGACAAAAAAACGGCGGGTAGCAGCAGGGCGCCTGCCGAGGGGAGGCAAAGGCGTCTGCGACAACAGGGACCTCTCTCCATTTTGCATTAATCTGCTTTAAAAACCTGTCTCCAGTGAGCGCCGGAGCGGGATTCGCCTGACCCAACCCCGCCGCGAACCCCATTTCCCCCAGCCATGCGCAGGGCTCTGCACAGCGGCTCTGTGGCCGCCTCTCCAGCCACCGCTCCAACACACGGGGGCACTGACGGATTTTCAGAAACAGTTCTAGGGAACTACCGTTTTTGTTGTTGTTGTTGTTGTTGTTTTTTTGGGTTTTTTTTGTTTTTAATAAGGAGGCAAACAGTATTTTTGCCTTGCCTTGTGCCTCCCCTAACTGGCACAAATGAAAAAATGCAAGCTGACATGCATACCCAGGATGAAAAACACCAGCCCAGACTTTTGTTCCATGTAATAACAGTGCTGTCAGCTTTAATGCAAAGAGACAGTGGCTACACACGGACCTCTGCCTTTGCAGCACATTGATGTAATCCTCGATACAGCTAACATAACCAAACTGACCCGGATTAATCAACGCTCAAACCAAGCAGAGTCCAGCTCTCTGCTTTTACATGGACCGGTTGAAGGCTTTGCAACTCCGTAGTGCCCTGGCATGAGTGAGAGGGGCATAGGTGCTGTCTGACCCTTGCAGAAGTGCTGGGATATTCCCCTCCAGCCCCCGCCAGCACCCCAGCCTTTGCAGTTACAGAAACAGACCCGTGACAGCAGGATATTTGGCAAATCCAGAGTCCCCCCTGCAATTTCAGGAAAATGCAATCAGGAGCGGCCACTAATCGCACTGATGTCCAGGGCCTGGTGCTGCAGGCAGGCACATTGTACTGCTGCGTTCATAAACCCATTAGGCTCCATTTTAAAATGAGTTAGAGCTTCTCCAGCTCCCTTCGGCTCTGCCAGCTGCTCTCAGGGGTAGGTGATGGAGCTACAAGGGAGCAAAGCCTGGGCAGTGTATTGACCGGGAAGACAGGCACAGAAATAGCACTCCTGGCGTGTCTACCATCACATAACAGCTTCAAAAATGAGCGAGGAGCCCCTTCTGAGTGCGCCTTCTCGCCATGCTGTGCTGCGCAGAGGCAGAGTACAGGAACCTTGCCTACGTGCTTCACTGGAAGACAACCAGGCAGATGCAGCAGTTTTCCCCCTCTCAGTGCTATCCTGGGGACTATATTTGGGAGCTGCCTCACTCATTCATTTTCCCCACTGAGGGCTCTGGTGGCAGCAGGGTTGTCCCCGCTGCCTTCTCTCATTGCCCTTAGTGGTACCTCTGTGGTCCCACTGCGGTCCAGCCGTGCCCTCAGCACCACCTGCTCTAACAGAGAGTGTTCCTTGGAAAATAACAGGGAACAACTGGTATGGAAACACCTGTAACTGAAGATGGCACTAAAGAGAATTGCCATAGCAGTGCTGGTTAGAGAAGAGAGCAGATCACTCCCCAGTTAACTGGGAGTCTGATGTCTTACTCTGGTATTCTGCTCAGTCTTTATGAACAGGTGACATCAGTGGATTTCATATAAATGGGCAGGGTCTGGGGTTTGCAGCATTTGCTTTCCATCGAGAAATTGTTATTTTGCACAAAATGTCATTTTGAGCCAACCTGCACAGTTTTAGCTTGGCAGCGGTGGCTATGAAAAGGCTGCTGTTGTTCCCGCGTATCATTTTAAAACAACAATCTTTGACGGCTTTTCCTTTCCAAAGATCTTCTGTCCCCAGTTTAGGAAGACACAGCTACAGCAGAGGTACATACTATCTGATGGCTTCCCTTCCTGATAGAGAAGGAAGGGTTCACCTTTTGCAGGGCCAACCTTCTCCTGGGGTGCCCATAAACCTGCCACCGCGTCACTAACCTGTGTGTCAGCCCTCACACATGGAATGCCAGAAAGACAAACACCAGATCCTGGTACACATCTGTCAGTTCCCATTTTTTGCATTTTTTCTCTAAACTCTGCACTCTTCAGAGCAGGCGTCTACTCTTCATATCAGCCTGCAAGTTGCCAGCGCTTTGTGAATAACAGTATTGTTAGTAGCTGCCTTCACCCATCCTCTCCACTGTACCATCCTGGTTTTAGGGCCTCTATCCCTTGCTGGCATGAAAACGAGCGCCCAGCCACCTGTGTGCTCGGAGGCAAGCTGCACCTTCACACTTCTGCTCCAGTTCCTCCTCTGCAGCACAACTCTCCCGTCCGACGGTTTGCACATATGTCCCACTGTGCCTGGCAGGTTGGCAGCAGCCAGGCTTAGAAAATAACTGGAGACCATTTGTATAAAAAGATCAGTAACAGAAGCATGCAGATATACCCAGCAATGCCGATGTTGAAAATCACACGTTACCTAAGACCGAAGCAAGCAGCAGCGGTGGCTGTCGGGCACATTCCCCACAGCCTGCCACAATCAGTGGCAATGTGCAGTGACAATCAGCTTACAGTGCAGCAACCTCCAGGGAACATGGCCCAGTGTCCCTCCGGGCCAGTCACCACCCCAAACCAGCTCCGGAGACATTCGGCACCTCTGGGGCAGGGTGCTAAGACCGTGCTGGGTGCAGGACAACTCCTCCCTCACCCCTCCAGCTAGAGCCAAGCAGTTCCGTATGTGCCAGACAAGAATCATTCCCTGTCCTCAACAGAGCAGATCTGGTTATTCTCAGAGTAGCTGTATAAACACTATTATTTTTTTAATCCTAATGAGTTTTGGCTTCGATACATCATGGCAGAGACTTCCATGGGCTAAGAGTAGCCAGTTATTAAACGATTTCTGAATGAGGAACTACAATATTTATGAGGCTGATACTAACACAAGAATTTCCTTTCTTGTATATTTTTCTGGGGTTTCCCCTTCATTCAAAAAAAATAAATAAAGACACCATTTGAACCATAACGCTGAAAGTCTAAATATGTTTTTTCCTTTTACAGCACTTTTCCCTTGAGGATCTTAGTTACACTTCTTAATCCATATCATTGCTTTCCTACAGGTAACAACACAGGTGACCAGGTAGGTTGAGAGTTTCAAGCCAGATCCATGGCAGATGGCCGATCAATACCAAACCCCAGGAGTCCTGATTTCCTCTGCTACCTCTGTTCGAATGGGAGCACCAGAGCTTCTCACTAGGGAGGAGAGCAGCCTGGCCTGGGAAACAGTCTTATTTCTGTCTGAAATAATCACGGCAAAGTCAACAGCAGAGAGATAACCCGATTTTTACGGAAAAAAAGTAGCAGGTAACGAAAAATGAGCGTGGATATTATTTTGCAGAGTGTGGTCACAGAAAGACACAGGGTGATCATATGGGCAGTTTACACATGGTTTTGACCTGCAGTCTTTTGCCATTGCACCTCCCTGTGGCTCTGGGCAATAAGGGGAGACAGTGGACAGTTTATATGTAGTAGGAGTGGAAAATTACATGTCAACACATCTTTCAGATTATCAGACTGGCTGCCAGCTGAAGCAGGAGCCGTCATGATCTGAAATTGGGCTGCTGAGCTGTTGCTTGAGTGAAGTCTGGAGGAGAGAGAAAACAGGGAAAAGGAATAAACTGTTTCTCAGAGAACTGTGTTTTTGAAGTATTTAACAGCATAAAATCCAAATCAGCAAGAGTATTTTGCCAGGTGGGGAAAAAGCACAGGCTTCCTAGACCTATGAAACTCCGCCTTCACCTAGATCAGTGAGACTTTGCCAAATACAAGGGGTAGCTTCACAAAGCAAGCCATCGCGATGTTAATAGAAGTCTGGTTAATCCTGCAGATGCAGGTTCTTTGGTTTCATGGTCTATTATCCCTTTTAGGCCTGCACCAGCTGCCCACAGGGCAACACTGTCATGAGGGAAGGATCAGAAGAGCTGATTCAAATGCTCTGTGGGGCAGGTTAGCCAGCCGTAGTGCGCTTGGCTGCAAAAGTCCTCCAGAACTGCCTGATGCTGTTATCCAGAGCTCCGGGAAATCTGGTCATGACCAGCATGGGCTGTGACATGCTGGGAAAGCCCTGCAACCCCTCTTCCATCTGCTCTGAGCACAAATCCTGTTACCTGTGCAAATCTCACATTTTTCTTGGAGCAACTTGAAGCTTTTTACCATTACAGCTCTGAGTGGCTGTGCCTCCAAGCACCCGTGATGGCACAGTTCACAGCAACCT